GTATTTCAAGAACTGATTTTAAGCTTATTAATGGACTAAGTTCCCGTATGGAATTGCATTTAATTAAATTGGCGGCCTTTCACTTAGCGCTTTAACCATTTTGAGCGAGCAATAGGTTCTGGGACCTGCATATTCTGCTAATCTATTCTATGTAATTTAATAGACAATCCTTGTAAAGGTTCGGAATTAATTTTACAAAGCTACTTCCAATTTTATTATTTATATTATTGAAATTTGCACTTGTGCGTTTTTCATTGAGCAAACTGGGGAACACTTTCAATTAACTGGCTAAAACAACACATGCAGGCAGCATTGAAAAAGGCGAAGTCTGCATTTGTAACACGGGCACGCTTTTGTGGAGAACCCGAATAATCAACTACCGTTCGGAAAAGGGAGATATTTGCAATACTTTCGATGTACAGATAGTCCAAGAGCAAACATGACTATAGAAGCCGGGAAAAACTCCAATAAATTTAATCCCCAGGAGAACTGTCGGCACTTCACTTATTCAATATAACGCTCATTATTTTTTAGTTAGTTTCGTTTAGCACAGATCTAACCATGGGTTTTAAGAGTACGCTCATCTGTAGTACTCTGCAACAGAAGCAATAAACATATTCCGAAAAGTACGTGATTTTGGCAGTAGTTTCTTCGCGATTGGCAAACGGTCGATGGATGCATTCGGGGCAAAGTGCCGTAGTTTGGGAAAATGTTAACTTTCCTTTGTTAAAAGTAACTATTGAGAGCTCTTTCCAGACAGGATTAGAGCCGAAAGCTTTTCGAACTTCCGGCAATTTGCTGGAGTTCTCTTCTAAGTAAATTTCAATGGGGATAAATAATGTCAGCAATATTTCAAAGATAATATGCTCCGATGTGCTTTCAATAAAATAATGATCTAAAATTAATTTTATCCTCAATAACTTTCTGAAAAATTTCAGTGCTGTTTTAGTCTTGTTAGAGCCTACCGTTTTAATTTAAAAAATCTTGGAAAATTGAAATAAACCAGCGTATTTTATTTTAGGATAATCAAGCTTCCTCCAAGGAATTATATGCGTTTTATCCTCCAAAAACATTTCCGAATTAAAATCGGGATTATTATGGCCCAATTGGGGCAAATAGAATTCAAATTTAAAAAATCTTTATCTCGGCAGCCATTCCAGGCAATTTTTAATTTACCAATGATCTGAGCTTATTAAAACTGTACCATTCAAGGAATTTTTCACTTTCGCCTTTCGAACAGTGCGGTCGACCTATTCAAATTCACCGTTTTTATACCTCTCACTAAAATGGAAGTTCGAGCGGCTCAAGATAGGTAAAGCCAAAGGCACTCTTAACATGGAAATTAGTACTCCTAGAGGAGTCATTAAGGGGCGCATCCAACGGATTAAATTATCTGATCTCTCGAGATAGGAATTTAGCTGCTATTGCGAAAATTAACTTGACGAGTATCTTCCACAAATGTCTTTTTTATTCGACAATAACATACACTGAGAATTCGTCTCAGATTTGGACATTCTCCAAACAGCCCAATGTTTTATTTTTATATGAATGCCAATTTTTAATGCGAATTTTATTTGTTATTTATTGCAACCCAATTGCATAAAAAATATGGCTTTTGTAGTTTAAACTAGTAAATTTACCCAAAAGTCAATGCATTTTGCCAGGCAAAGTAAATAAGCAAATGTACAAACAATTTCAGGTTTTATGTGTTTAAGGGCACATAGGTGCATAGCTAATTAATGCAACGTAACGTGGCAGGTTGGTGCCTCATAAAATAAAAGCAGCGAAAATATTTCGCTCTCAATAACCACAAATTCTCCCAGGAAATTAATTCGTTTACAGTGTGTGTGTTTGCGTTATACGTTTATTCTCTCCATTATTCGGCTTGAAAATACGTCGCGACCCTTATCTGTAATGAAATCAGAATAATGAAGGGGAAGTTTGAGACAGGTGGATAAACATTTGTAATAAATTACAGTTTCCAATGTTGACAAGAGCTCTTTCATTTTCAACCAACCTATAGAATGAAATTCATGTCTTATTTTCAATTCAATATTCTGAGAAAAAATATATTCAAGAAATTGATGAAAGCAAATATTTTTATTTTGTCTCAAAGCCTTTTAAGCAGGGAATAACGACATGTTTTTATATTTCATTATACTGGCGGTATTTTGACCCACGGAAACTGCTGATGTTTTTTTCAATAGCAATCACTGTGGAATCCGTATGAACAAAACATGTGATAATATGTGCAACAGTTTATGTAACGTAAAGAAAATTAGTGTCACAGTTTTTAGGCTTTGCAAAATTCAGCCTATTTCGATGACTTTGTATCAACCTTTAAAAGCAGCTCAAAACACTTGATTTTTAACAGAAGAAAACGTAATCTCAAGAACGTTTATTTAAGTAACAACCGATTCGAGAATTAGTTTATAAAAGTTCGTAGTAAAAGTCTTTCAGGCCCAATTTTCGAGATTCATTGGGTTTACTAAATGCTTTTTAAATTTTATTCGAGCCTCGCTTGAACCGAATATTCGCTAAGGTTAACCCGTATCGTTCTCAATTATATTTTTTTTAGGGAGTCATTTTACATTTTTTGGTCTTTCACCCAAAGCAGCAGTATAACTTCGAAAATAATTTTACAAGTCAATTTTATCAGACGATGAATTTAAACGAATGATTTACAGAGGCAACGAACATATTTTAAGCGAGAGGAAATTGAAAAACTAGTTGATATCCGTCAATTAATAGTGAATTATCGAAGAAAAAATGTATCGAATGTAGTATTTAAGGACGCTCCTGGCAATTATTTTATTTCCATTTTCAAGCAAGCAGCCGCAGAAAAGTTCGAAAACCCCTTGAACCGTGCAAATTATTCGGACAACGAATAAATCGACAGTCCAATTAAAAGGAAAACTGAAGAGAATTGTACAGTCTTTAATATATGCGCATTAATTTCCAAATGTTCCTAATAGACCGTTAATAAGACAGTTTACTTATCGCGTTAGCAATCAGGCGTTAAAGGCCTCCAGCCAGAATTTCATTACGGTTTCCTTCTACCCTTTAGCCTCAATTTAATTTTCATATAACCGCTTGGGCTTGTTTCGACCATGAGCGTGCACTTACATGATATATAGATAGAGATCTTGGAAGAAAATTACTTTGGCGTATAGGTAAGTGAAGACTGGAAATTATGTCGATTTTAATCATCGATCATTAGATTCGCCAAATTGAATCCAAAAGGTTTGAAGGTTTAATGCTCGGGACATAAACAGTTTCATTTGAATGAATAATGCATTCTGATAAAACTTCAAGATCATTTTCCAGCTCGGTAGCTGTTTCCTGATCAACCGAAAGACATCCATCACCTAATCTGAATGCATAATTTAGCAGCAGGAAAATTGAAACGCCTATCTAGTCTGACTGAATCCGGCAAAGACTCGATCGAAAACAAATCGAGCTAATAAAAAATAAATCTTAAGATAAATAAATGAAAGGCGACGAGAAGCAAAACGATTCAACAGCCCATTCCAGTGAAATTGAATTAACCATAGTTTAACGCACATATTCTCAATTAGATCTCTAAATTTCCCTTTCAGCTAGGAAAATTGGCGCTGCTTTCCCTGCTGTATAGATCACTGAAAGGGTAATTTTAGAAATGAAAAACAGAAAATCGAGCGCCTCGATAACAACTTTTACGTTAACTTTACATTTGAAATTAAATAAAGCAATTTATTTCAGAATTTGACTTGAGACCAGATGTGCAAAGAACGAGCATGATTCAGAATAGTTAAACTGCGAAAGGTTATTTCTTTAGGCCCTGAATTGATTTTGTTTAGAAATATAGTTATATTAATAAATATTTTAAATCTCCCTCCTATGTAACAACACAAACAGTTGTAGAGTAGCTTAAACTTTCAAGATTAACTTTCCATTTCCACACGCCCCAGACGAAAATATTTACCCACTTTTGAACCCAGCTACTAGTTGCCTTTTGTGCAGATTTTACTGGAGCATAAATTCGCATAGAATGAAATAACCCTATAGTAAAATGAACCTTTGAAACCCTTATCAGATTACCGCTAACTTACCGATCCCAAAAGGGTTTTGTGATATGCCGATAAGCGGAGCGAAATGGATACAGATGTTCAGAAGGTGACCAATCCCAAAAGTATAGGCAAACTTTGGCGTTATTTAGCTGCGTGATGATCTGTGATCATTAGTAACTTTTTGCTGAGAAAATTGATAGGGAAAATTGCAAACAACCACAGGATAAAGAGACAAAAAGTAATAATTGATGGTAAATAACAAATTCTAAAATATGCATAAAGCTTTCCATAATACACTCAGCTAGATTTGGTTAAGCCATTTCCTGGCATATAATCAGCTCATTAAATTTGAAACCTCTGTGGTACAAATTATATTTCTATGTATCCCTTTACCTCAATTCGTATCACATCATACATAAAATATAATGTAGACGATGTAATTTTAATGTGAATTTTATCTATATAGAGATAATCTGCTTTCCGTGAACATACTTGGGCATGAATGTCCAGAACAAACCAATTTTCCGGTAGGAACTTTGTTACAAAAACTCGACATGTCAGGTTGAATTTATTATACAAAATGATTGTTGCATTTTAAAAGGGTTCTTTGCTTTAGTCACTGAGCAAAAAAGACGACGAAGGATAACTAGGCAAACGTAGGAAGCAAACGACCGCTTAGCGAAGATTATCGAACATCAGCTAGGAAATGAAAAAATATATTATCGGTTTAGAAAGCGACAATACACTACTCAGACAAACAGGTGCCTGTCGAAGACGATCCCATAAGAAAAAAGTTCTTTTGGGCATAATTGTTTTTTCACTTCCTGATACGTGAGGTAGGCGTGGTGGCAGCAGCTCTGTGGCTGCCCTTCGGTTGCTAAGCAGCCCAAGATGCGGGGATAGGATAGAGCGGAGCGCTAGCTAGAGCGCCCGATCAGTCTCTATGCGGCTCTTCAGGACGTCGGTTTTGCTCCAGCCAAGATTGTGGCGTAAACTTTCGACGCGACCTCGAACGCCATACATTTTTAAGGACTAAACATTAATATTTGTCAGTTCAAACAGGCAAATTACTGACGCCAGACTCTTTAGTAAGTTTGATGTCTATAAATGTTGTCAGCTCGATGTTAGATAGTACTTGACCTAATTTGTAAGTGGCGGAAAACTGTCGAGATTCGCAGTTTTAATAAGATTAGCAAGCCTGTTGTGTGTCGTGCAGTTAGAATAGAATAAAATCAGATGCCAGTCATACTCTATTCAGTTATGAATGCCATAATTACACAAAACTGTTTCAACTGAAAGCACAATTATAATATTTCAAATAATTTTTGAAAATTTACAAAATCGTTGCTGATTATAACATAGACAAGTTCATCGTCGCTACTCTCAAATAAAGCAAATCTTCTCTTCTCAAAAAGTAGTAAAGCATTAATGTTTTTTGCACAGTTTCAGCAAACTAAATGAGAAGTAAAACATCAAAAGTGATTTATTTCTTTGTTAACGAAGTACAATAAAACTATACCAAATAAACATTAAAAAACGTTTTGGCCACATTACAATTTAAATTTGCACAGTTCTGGTTAAATTTGTTCAATTTGTGCAATTGGTAAACTCAATCAGGCATAAAATAATGTTGAAATATTTTTTTAGTTTCTGCATTAATTTGAACTTAATTTTTGTTGCTGAAGTTTAATCTGCTTTTCTCGCTTAAAGGAACAAAGCTAATAGGATTTTTAATTACTTTTCCAAAATTCGTCCTGAAATATAGTTTCATCCATTTAAGAAGTTTTTCAAACCAACCCATACAATTTATTTTTTGTATTTGTCAAAATATTTTAGAAGTTGTAAGCCCTAAAACAACTCAAATTACGCAATCTAGATTTCAGAATAGCGAAAAATGTTTGCACTAAGAAATTAACTCTAAAATTGTTGAAATAATACAATGTGTATCATATAATCTTAAATTATGACAGTATCAGAAAGTGATCCCAACAGGATTTTCTACTTCTTTCTGTAAGTAACATTAGACGTAAATAACGAATTAACTCCAAAACAAGTAGTATTTTGCAAGCGTAGCAAAAACCGAGGAAATCGCTATAAAAGTCAAATTAAAAGAAATGTGGGTCATATGCTCGTAAATTAGGAAACACACACATACATTTTGGAAAGGATAGAGTTGAGACCCTATAGCATCCATAGACGGTTTCGTAAAAGTAAAAATTTAGGCAAATATTAGTTTCGGTGAGAAAGGGGTTGTTTTTGGCAGGCAAAAATCAGGAAACCCAAATAAAATATATATGGGTCATATTCCACTGAATTATGAATAAGATTAAAATCCATTATTTGATATGCAATTTCGAGCGATTCTCCTGAACTGTAAACCTTGTTTGCTGCCTTGAGTGTAAAATCAGGTCAGAGCGTCGAAGTAATCTACCTAAATTCTTACCAAAAAATCCAAAACTGGTTTCTCCCATCAAAAGTAATATAATTTAAAGAAAGCGTAGTCAGACTTTCACTATATCCGAAAACTATACAGACTGGTGAAAAGCTCTTGGTCCTCAAACACTAAATAATTGACTTTGCCAAAATCGCGTAAGAAGAAAGGTTTACCAGAAATCAAAACCTGAACTTCCAGCAATATTGTTTGCTACCAAATTGGTGTCACATCACAACTTGTACAATTAACGGAACTTTAACTAAAACGTGCTCTATCAACTTCATATAGATTAACATCTACATATACGACTCAGAGTAGAGCATGCTATAGTTGAAACTTTGGAAGATAGTCCTTCGCTAAAACACACTTTGACTTGGCGCAAATGGATATTTTGGTGTTTGTTTTATATTTATCGCACAAATGTGCTCAATGTAGGATTAATAAAGAAATAATATTTATACTCGGAAGGGACTGTATAGATTTCAACTAAAACCATCATGTGGGAGTATTCTATTGGCAAAAGCCAGCACGAACTTCTCATAACTAGTTCAGTATAAAATTGGTTTTAAGAAAAGCTGATTCTTTTCGGGACTATTGAGGTCAGATCTCGATTCGATGAGGGAAAGCAACGGATGTTGATTCGGTCAAGGAATTTGTAATGAGAAATGTTGTTTACATCCACCGGTCAGTACCATGTGAATTTATTCAGCTGTTACAGAAATATTAAATTGAGTCAATATTTTTTTGGGTTTCCTATTTGTTTAGATAGCATTAATTTAAAATGGCAATTGAACTAAATTAAGTAAGTTTTACAGCGATAAACGCATTAATTAGACCTGAGCTTTTCGCGAAATATTTAATTGACAGCCGGCTGTTGACTCTTTACTGGCTCTACTCTGGCTGAACAATTTAAAACACAATTCGAAAAATGTACCTCAAAATAATTTCATTAAATTCCAGCAATTTTATTTGCCGTGGGTTAATGCAAATACATTTTCGTAAAATTCCAATTTCGCGTTGGTCTTTGAATTGTGGCACTTTATAATTGTTTATTTTTATTGAATAAAAGCTAAAATGTATGCGTTTTTGATGAAATGGGTATAGAAGTATAAAAATATACTTTTCGGTAAGTTAGAAATTTAAATATGTATTATTCAGTTGTTATTTGCATTGCGTTAAATGCATATTTATTACGTCAACAAATGGAACTATTTGGACTCATGGAAAATCCAACAAATGAGGTATAATTTGAATAAACTCATCAGTTGAGATGTAGTCTACAAATTGCTGAAGATAGGACAAATTGGCCACTCAAGAAAATAAAGTTTGTTTCAATAAGTCAATTCAATGGACACTTCGATTGACCTGAATCGGATCTATCGGTTGCACTGAATATTTCAGTTTTCATTGAATAATACAAAGGATATTTAGACATTATTACGAAGGCAGCTTGTGGTGTCTATTAAAACTTTTGAACCAGAGTTTGAATGTACAAATCAATGTTGAATATTAGGCAAATTTTCTCTTATACCTATCAACTTATACCTAAAAGTTGGCTAAAGTGAAAGTAATTTAAAGTGTCCGATGCCCGAAATTTGCATAATCCTCAGTTGTTCATTTAACAGTTTGCTTAATTGGCTACTTAGCCGCTATAAATAATGCATGCGAATACTTCCTGCTTCATACTGTTAGAGTGTTACTCTATTTTCAAACACTCCAAAAGCGATGTGCTCTTCTTGAAATTGTCAATATGCTTAAGAGGTGAGGCATGAAAATAGGAACTAGTGGTTCGGCTTTCGAATTTTCAAAAGTTGGCAAAATTTACACACATATGTGGAGGGCCTGGCAATTTGTATACTGAATTCGTTTATTTTTACTAAAATACTTGTAAATTAATTAGACAATAATTGAAGGAAGTTTTGGTGAAACCAAATTTCGCAATTTGTCTTGGAATAATTTTTTAAAGGTTAACCATACTTATTTTATTTCATTCTATACCAAACAATTCAGTATATTTGTTTAGGTGTAGTTCCTCTTCATTTCAGCCATCGGCTTGAAGAGCCGAGGCAAATGTTTACTGAGTAATCGAATAGGCAACCATATGTAGGCTTTGCGTGGTCGCTAAGTTTATATTTATTTTAGCGAACAAACAGCTGAATAGGATTTCAGTTAAAAAAGTGCATTGTGGCAAGTTATCATTGATGTAATTACAGGCAGGAAATAATCAAAGTGCATAAGAAACACAAAACATTTGTGTAATTCATGTGACCAGATCGATGGAATAATTCAACCAATCTCGCAATAAGGCAATTCGTATCAAATAGCAAAACTCGTTCTCCCCGGAACTATTTAGGTCAGTCCCCACAGCGGACTTCGGCAGAGAGATGAAGATCATTGTGGGAAATGCTCTTCGTACATTGTCCAGCAATGGAACGTTTTAAATTCTGCTGTAATACTGCCGACAACAAATTTAAAATAATAGTTTTGAGCTCTTTTTGCCCAAATTTTATTATTATTGCATTCTTTGCACTTTGGTTTCATTCCAGTTTTAGTCGTTTAATTAGCAAGCCTTCCTAAAAAACCTACCAGGAATAAATAATAGTTATATGAAATAAATTACGTTCTTGCAGTGAAACCCATCAAAATTTGCTGAATTTCCAAAGCGAGCCAATTTATCTTTAGAGGCGAACGTCGTTTTAAAATGCATTAATTTTTCAATTTTTCAGCTAATTTATCTTGAGCTTAACTGCGTTATTGCGCTTTCAGGCCCAGAACAAAGCCAATAGGAAATAACAGTTCGACAGACACTAATGGAACTTGCTGTATGTCAAATTTAATGCTTTGGCTTGGCAAGAATTTTATCCTGATCGTTACTTGAAAGCAAACAGGAATTGAGGAAAAACTCTTTTTACTAAACTTTGGAAGTTTGCATTGAAAATCTCCATTTTCCGCTGCATGTTTTGAAGCTACATTAATTAGATATTGACAATTTTCACCTAATCTAGACAAATATTGGATGAATCTCCGTTAGTAAATTAAGGCAGCATTTTTAGGTTGATTATAAAAAAATATATACGAAACTTAAAACAGATGGAAACAAATTGATATTACACAAAAGAATCCTTTATCGCAGCTTCGACTGGTTTCATACGGCCCTGTTGGGATAGCTTGACCCAGTTAATTCGGTTCAAATACTCTGAGGAATTCTACAAATAAATATGGGCTTCCAAGTCTTTTCCATTTCTCAGTCAATTTAGAAACGTTCTTAGTTCAACAGAATCGAATATTTTCAAACAAGCTCACGAAGGTTCAACTAACCTTACTCGAATTTCGGGTAGTTACATTTTTAAAGATTCTGTCAATAAATTAATGAATTTAAATTGGATTGCAAACATTTCTAAGTTCGTGTATAGTTTCTAAGTAAATAACTAACTACCATGCGATTAGATCTCAACATTTGTTCAATTGATTTGTTGAATTAGCTCCATATCAGTTTTTATGATTAATTCGCAAAATTCATTTGAATATAACTCACTCGTTTGTACTGATAAAATGATATTAATTTGATGTTTCGCGTAAAACAACCACTATCAACGTTTTAATTATTTTCAAGTATTATCACAATAAATACCTAAATTTATATTGATTTAAATG